ATAAGAGGTCAGTGAAGATGGAACGGAACAACGTGTGCCGCGGCTGAGTCCCCCTTGCCAGCAGCCCCTTTGCAACCAGTCCTCCGTGGAGCAAGCAGAGACCCACTTGCAGCCCGTGGAGGATCCACGTCGAGAAGAGATGCCAGAGCCTGAGTACGGTACGCATCTAGAGTCTGTGAGATGACCCCCCGCCGATGGGGAGGTGCTTTGTTAAAGGAGATGCCTGAGCCTGAGACTATTGTGAATCATGGGCACAGGTCGAGGCGCATTTACGCATCTAAGTCTGTACGGAGACGCATTTAAGGTCGATATGACAACCCATGCCGGAGCGCATTTAAAGTCTGTACGATGACCCACGCCAGAGCGAGTGGCTACAGCTCCTTAAAAGTCCAGGACTGGTAAAGCCCACACTTGGGGCAAATCCGATGGGGTAAGGATTTGCCTCCTAGCGGGTAGGATTCACGCTTTCGCCGTGAGTAGGGGATCCGCTGGAGCAAGGGACAATGGTGTAAGGACTCCTTTTCCTTTAAGGGAAGCGGCAGTAACAACTTGGAATGAACTGACCTGCACTCCCCCATTCCCTGCCCCCCTGCGCTGCTGGGGGGAGGAGGTAGAGCCGGGAAGAAGAGGCAAAGAGGGGGGAGTGGTGTTGATTTTAAGACCGGGCCTTGTTTTCTTGTTATCCTCTCAAGTAACTGTTTTTGTTTGCTTTTCTCTTTGTAGGTAGCTGTTAATAAATAGTTTTGCTTTAAGAAAACAGCCTCTTTTGCCCGGGACCGTGGTTGGTGGGTGCTGCTCTGTTCCTGTCTCGACCCTCAGCTCTTTTATTATATTTTTCTCCTCTCCATTTTACTGGAGTGGGAGAGCTGCCTGGGGTTTAGTTGCCGGATCGGCCTAACCCACGACACCCTGCTACCCAGAGCCTACACAATGACAACACTTAGACCAACAGAAATCAGACTTCTCCAGTTTCCATCAATATCAGCCATGTGCTTATTGGTGTCTAGGACATCGTTGAACTACTCAAAAGATGACACACATTAATTATCATAGTGTGGGCAGTCAGCTGGGGAGTTGTCACCAAGATGAATGTAGCTCATCACTTTAGTTACCAAATATATTGTCTTTTAAGAGCCTAGAAGAATCTTTAAATCACCATTACAACCTCTCAAAGAAAGACACCAACATACCTCCCTTTCTAGGAAATAGGTTCCATCTCTACAGTGTCTCTTTGATCGCCATTCTCGCTTGACAATAAAAATGGCAAAAAGCAAATGTAACTAAAAAACTGAGTCAAATCTCCTGCACTACCAATACATGCAACCTTTTATATAAATTTTTTAAAAGACTGTTATGAGCCTGGTTTAGAAATTATGAGCCAATACTAATACTATATTTGAGATTCTCTTCCTTCACCGTTCATCAGTTATGCAGCTTACTTACTGCTTGCATCCTGCCCACTCCAAGCCAGATTAATCAGTTTCACTTCCACACTTATGCGATAGCTCTATACTGTGGAGATGAAGAGGGTGACATTATCTTGTCACTGTGCCACACCACCTGCAGCAAGCTGATGGTCCCAGCAGACACCTACGCTTGTATGCAAATGCTGATCCTTCACACTACAGCAGAGAGTAACTTATTCTACCACAGCCCATACTCCATCCTTCATGAGGAGATGAAGGGCTACAAAATTTTCATCAGTCTCCAGGGATGTCAGTCTGGAACTTTCTACCTCAACAACATTTTGTTTCACTGCTGTTGTTTTCCTCAATTATCTGTGTTAATACAATACAGCCCTGTGAGCAGAAAAAGCTTGATGACTGTCTGCACAGAGTAAACAGGAAGACTCTGTTCCTCATAATTGCGTGGGAGTTACATTTGTCATATGTTATACTTAACCCTGGTACAGGATTTTGGCCCACTTGAGTCACCATGAAGCTGTACAGTGTGTTGAGAAAACCTGGGTACTGTTCTAGGGGCTTCAGTGAGCATAGTTCAGAGTTTTCAATGAGGCTGCTCTCGCATCCCAAATGGTACCATTCTCTTCCTAAGGGAAATCTCTCACCTTGGAAACTACTCTGCTAAGCCTAAATCAATGCCAAGTAACAAGTAACTCACTCCCAGTGCTGACATTCATCTTGGTCGTTTGTATAGAGAAGCCCAGAATCCTTCAGAGGTATTTTAGAGATGGTGAAATTGAGGCATGGAGAGGTGAAATGAAGTACTTATGCTGGCCTTAGAAGATCTGTAACGGACCAGTCGACAGCATTGCTTGAACTGCACTGCACTGAACGGCATGGCAAATGTGTTTACAAATTTTCTCTCTTTATATTCATAGTTTACTTAGCAGGTCTTTCTTGGTGGTGGCAAGACTAAGGTAAGCAGGGCTGGTCACTCAAAAAATTCTCACTTCATAAATCTATGTAATGAGAAAACTCCCACTCTCTCCACAGAAACTATTAAAACCAGATAGGCACATATGACTTCATTAATGAAGACCTACTTGTTATAGACTATGTAAGACATTGGAGCGTACATGGAAATCTCTAATCTCCATAAGTACATGAAAGTAAAATGAGGATTATGATTTACCTCCTTGTTGAATCTGTTTAGAATGCAAGAGGAATATTAGACTAAATATCAGTCCTCTAGTATTAGTCTATTGTCTCCACTTGCACTATCTGCTTTAGATATTCCTTCTCTTAATAACCTCTTCTTGCTTCTACAATTTCATTCGCACTTTCAAATCCTTTGCGTTTTCTATTCCTCTTGGAGGATAATTATTCTTCTAGATCAATCACAATATCACAGGGTCCAGCATTCAAGTATCTTTGGCATTAAGGATAGCTTAGATATTTTGGAAAGGTCTTATATATTGGCTCTCTTCTATATCCCACCTTTCATCCTGATCCTTAGCGTAAATTAACAGCTTATTTCAGTTTTGATAAGCTATAAACATCGCAGTGATACAAAAAGTAAAGTCTAAGTAATAAAGATTTTAAAAGACATTGAAGTGAAAATATATCAAATAAACTTGATGCTATTATTCAGAAAGTAGTATCAGGTAACAGAAGGGAAGTGGAACTTATTCACGTATTTTCCCTTTTGTTATAAATGAAGCTTGTGTGAAATCACATTGCAGCGTGGCTACAACTTTTCAGACTGATAAGACAAAAGGGAAGAGAGGCCTGACCAAAGTTGACAGGACAGGCAGAATGCTGATACCAAAAGTTTACTGGCTGAACAAATATGATTTTATCATGACATGTTCATTATATTTATCTGGGATTAATTCCCCTAGCAGTCCAAAGAATGATCCCATACAGCTATAACATCCCAATTTGCACAAAGATCAAGAAGTTTACTTGTACATTTAAAATCATTTCCTACTAGAGAAGAATCTCACAGTAAGACAGTTGACCAAAATATAATCAAGTCTCATACAAATACCGGAGTTTGGTCCATTTTTTATAGTAAGAATCTGAAAAAAAAAAAGTCAGATATTTGAGTGTACAAGGAAATCTTTAACCTCCAAAAGTACGTGAAAGCAAAATGAGAACTATAGTTTCCCTTCTTATTTACTCCAACTGTCCAGACCGCAAGAGGCATGTTAGACTAAATATCAGACCCCTAGTACTAGGACTACCTGCTTTAAATATTCCTTCTCCTAATAGCCTTTTCTCGACTATTAAAACCCAGGATTCTGGTGACTATCAGAAACATACAGCTCATAGCATGTGAAAAATCCACTGTGTGGATCCTCTTTATACACTTTCCCTTCCTTAGTAGCCAAGATAAATCTATCCATTAAATGGTGATGTCAGTCAATTTCAAATGCTAAAACCAGAGATTCCACTACCTCACCAGGAAAGCTGACTGATGCTGTATCAGACCCTTGCATCTTATCTCACAAACTCTAGTTCTCTCCCAATTCAGTCACAGACTCTCTTTGTGGCTACAACCACTCTACGCTCACAGGAAATTACAGTACCTCAGAATGAACACTTTGCCAGACTCTGTCTATCTCTTATTTCTGTCCATCCAAATCACCTCAGTTCCTCCTCCCTGAGCTCCCTCTGCCTTTCTTAAATTATCTACTCCTATCAGTCCTATGTCTAGTGATCATACTTGATATATTTCATGAGGCAAATGTAAAAACACCGTCAAAAAGATTTACACTACGATGTCACTCTATCTTCTCCAGTATGAGGATGGCAGTGAATTAAAACAAGTTGCAAAATTCAATATCCTACCTATCCTTTCCCAGCCTATTTAATTGTAAATTCTATGTGGTAAATATTCTAAGTTCTGGCACAGCGCTTTATACAATGGGAGCCTAACCTGGCTGGTTCCTT